ACAGTCTCCCTGGTCTGCTCCACTGGGGCCTGTGCCTCATTCCTCCATCACGTCCTTCCACTTACCCCTCCCTAACTCCGGGTACGTCTACACTACAGCGCTAGTTCGAACTAACTTAGTTCGAATTAGTTAATTCGAACTAAGCTAGTTCGAACTAACGCATCTAGAACTAAAAACTAGTTCGAACTAGCGTTTTGCTAGTTCGAACTAGTAAGTCCACATTGAGTGGACTCTGAACAGGGCTTAATGATGGCCGGAGGCCAGGTGACCTGCTGCAGCCAAGAAGAGACCAGGAAAGAGGTATAAAGATGCCATGTGGCAGCCTCTATTTTGTCTTCAGATCTGCTCCTGACCTCAGATGTGGTCTTGCAGGGAATCACGAGCCGGGAAGAACTGTGGACCCATCCTGACATAGGATGTACTCCAAAGACTTTTAAGCCAGCAGTTATAACATCTCTGCTGCGAGCCTATATTGAGAACTGGGAGATTCGATGCATGTAATGTATGATACCTTAACAACCTTACTCTCATGCTTTTTGTTCTTGTAGTAATAAACCTTTAGATGTTAGATTCTAAAGGATTGGCTCTGCGTGATCTTGTGGGTAAGGTCCAGAGGCTAAATTGACCTGGGATTTGTGGCTAGTTTCTTGAAACTGGACAGAATTTGTTCGGGGAAGGTGAGATTGGGCTCTAAAACCCTTCACCTGTGTATGAGGCCCACAGCCATCTGGGGCATGGATATTGCTGGGGTGCCAAAGGGGTTTTGCCCTTGAGGCTTCTGGCTGGCCAAGCAGGCAGCTGAAGCGCTCTGTGGGACTAGTTTGTGGCCTATTTGGGAGGGTCTCCAATCTGGGGGCTATAGAGAGCCACGAATTTGAGCAATTTGCCTTGAGAGGACACCCTCAGCTGTGCTGGGACCCAGCCTGGTCCGTCACACCATCCCAAGAGCCACTGGCGACTCCAGCACTCCCTCTGAGCCCACCATGCTGCCAGCACTCCTGCAGCACTCTTGGCTGCCCTGGCCAGGGACAAAAGAGGGCACTGGCCTGGACTGGTGTGTAGATCCTGGACCTCATCAAGGTTTGGGGTGAGGAGACCAGCCTCCAGGACTGCCACACCAGGAGGAGATATACTGATGTCTGCAGCCATATGATCACCAGCCTGGCCGAAAAAGGACATGTGGACTCTCTACCAGGTCTGTGTGAAAATAAAAGGACTCCGTCAGGCTTTCAAGGCCAGGGAGCAAAGTGAATGCTCTGAGGCAGCTCCTCATACCTACTGCTATTACGAGCAGCTGGATGCCATCCCGGGAGTGGGGACAGTCACCTCACCAGCATCACTGAGCCAGGCTATGACATGCCCCGAGTCAGCCTCTCTGAGGCTGAGGCTGTAGAGGAGGAGGAGGAGGTGGAGAAGGAGGAATGGGAGGAACAGTCCAACCAGGACACCCTGCCCGCCAGTCAGGAGCTGCTCCTCAGCCTGGAGCCAGTCCCCATCCCCCAGGATGTCTCCTTGGCCTTGGATGATCCTGGAGAAGGCAGTTCAGGTGAGTTCTATAGCTTTCCCTGTACACATGCGGGAGCAGGTGGCAGGCTGCGAGGGGCTGATCTCTCCTTGCTCGGCCTTCTTGGCATGTGGGTCGCACAACAGTCTGTGCACATGGAGCGCCAGTTCAGAGCACTTGGCTCCATGAGGCTCTCATGATGCTATCACAAGGTTCCGGGACAGGCCTGCCTCACCCCGGACTCCATGGTGGGACACCTTCCTATATGAAGCTACCACTAAGGATTCATGGAAACACACAGCAGTACTGCACATGGCACGGGCTCATGCCAACACTCGGGCAGCATTCACTCCTGGTCAAGCGTAGTGATACGGAGGAGACAGATCTTGTGCAAGGAAGCCTGCCAGGGCGAGGAAGAGGAGGGAACCCCAGTAGCACTCTTTCTGGCAAGTGGCCTCTGACGCTCACACTCACATCCCCCAACACCCCATCCCTCCAGCAGGCATGGAGAGATGTTCTTTCTCTGCAGGATGTTGCACTGCTGGACTTGGCATGTGCAGGACACAGAAGGCGGCCAAGTCGCCCTGTCTCCCACCCGCGGGCTCCTGGCCTGGCCATCAACGTTTCCATGCCTGCTTGTCCCCAGGACATGGCTGTAGCGATGTTCCCCTGGTATGTCCATGCCCTTGAAGGAAAGTGCCCACTGTCTAGGCAACATATGGCCTTGCTGAAAGCACACCGCCATCTTCTGAAATGAGACCTTTGGTGTTGGCAGAGAGATTAAGGCTTGTCTTCATACACAGTGTCTCCTGGGATGTCTGCCCTTGTCACTTTTTTTGGAAGTATGTGAACGTGCCTTTCTATGCATATCATATGTATTTTTAATTCCTTACATGGGGAGAAGATCAACACTTTGAGTTTTAAAAGGCCAAGCTAATTTCCCTATCAAGAGGAAGTGGGGAGAAAGTGGCCTCTGTTGTATATTTTTTTTCTCATCCCCATATCTTAGGGAGCCTGTTGGTGGCTCTGCAGAGACCCAGAGCTGGGGCTAACTGCTATAGCAGGGCTACTCAACATTAGAAGCCCCGGGGACCACAATGATATTCACAGCACACGCCGAGGGCAGCAACTTAAGTGTGGTTGCATATACATGCAAATATATGCAAATAGCTTCTTCACACTGACGGACATTAGTATGATTAAGACAAGACTACACAACACACAGACTCCATTTAAGATAGATCTGCTGATATTAATAACATGCAATATTTACCTGATTTCCACCCATCTGACAGCACTTTTAATGAGCAATGGCAGTCCAGGAATTTAACTACTAAAACGCATATCAACAGAAGACCATTATATTGACAATTTTTTTGTTTTGGCTTCAGTATAGTCCAGGAATTTAACTACTAAAATTTCTACATTTAACTAAAACACATATAGTCTTGTGTTCAGCCAACAGGTATTTCCTCTTTGTTGCCATTTTTAATGCTTCTTATTCAAAAGAAAATTTTATATCAGTGTCCTGGCCATGAGGAATGGGCAGCAACCTGGGGAGTAAGGGGTTAACTACGTCTTCTGTACCTAGTCAAGTATCTGCTCAGGAAATAGTAATGCAGGTAGGGATTTCAAACTGGGACAAAGGATTTTTAAGTTTTCCCTCCTTTGTCTCTGAGCCAGTTTTGCTCTATAGATACTGAGGGAGACAGAAGACACATCTCTCTCCAAGGTTATGTCTAGACTACATGGCTCCGTGAACGGAACTATGTAAACCAGTTTATCCGACATAGATAAAGAAGCGGGGATTTAAATAATCCCCGCTTCATTAAAATAAATATGGCCGCTGCGCTGTGCCGACGATCAGCTGATCCAGCATTGCACAGTAGTCTAGATGCGGATCGGTTGGCTGGGGATGCCTTTGCCGACTGATCTCTTATGCCTCATGAAAAAAGGCTTACAGGATCGGTCGGCAAAGGATACCTCAGCCGACCGATCCGCATCTGTGCCAGATCAGCTGATCGTCGACACAGCGCGGCGGCCATGTTTATTTTAATGAAGCGGGGATTATTTAAATTCCCGCTTCTTTGCCTATGCCGGGTAAACTAGTTTACATGGCCCCCTCAACGGAGCCATGTAGTCTAGATATACCCCAAGAAAAAGACTCTTCATAGTATGCAAGTAGGGTAAAGTCTAGATAAATCTATCAGGTTTTATTGTTTTCTGGTTTGGGAATTTGGATCTGATAGTAATAAAAGTTCTTTCTTTTTTTTAATTAGCTTGGTATTGGTTCATTTCTGTGTTCTGGAAAATCTGTCTGTGGGATCTGCATACCTCTGATGAGGGGACAGCAATCACAAACAACAGCTTGTATTTTCCACTTTTATTTTCAAGCTTTTTGAAGAATTTGGGGTGCCCTGGGGTTGGTTTCGAGTGTCCACCCTGCTTATGGGTTCAAAAGCACTTGATGGTGGCAGCGGATTCCCCAAAATCCAGGTATTAGTATTTTGGGGGAGTTTTTGTACCAAAGCCTGTAGCGATCAGGTTTGGATTAATCTTGTGGGCCCGCCACTTCTGCATTCATTGTGCCAGAGTGGGGAAAAGCATTGACATGGTGGCAGAGTGGTGGGATCATTTTGAGAACCCAGGACTTTAAAAGGATACAGGTTTTTCTTTGAGTAGTTGCAAGCTTTGGAGTTTTTTTCTCTTTTCTTTTTTTGTTCTGTTGGGGTGTGTCTAGACTACATGGCTCTGTCAATGGAGCCATGTAGATGAGTTTAGTAGCCATAGGAAAATGAAGCGACAATTTAAATAATCGCCGCTTCATTTACATCAAAATGGCCTCTGCGCTGTGCCGATCAGCTGTTTGATGGCACAGCGGGGCAGTCTGGACGCACCGTGGTTGACAAAGGAAGCCTTGTGAAATGAGGTTTACCGGAGAGGTCAACAAAGACTTACATTGTCATCCGGGACGCATCCAGACTGCCCTGCTGTGCCCCCAAACAGCTGATCGGCACAGCGCGGCGGCCATTTGATGTAAACGAAGCATTTTCGTATGTCTAGTAAACTCATATACAAGGACTGTAGTCTAGACACACCCTTGGAGTCTTGGGGAAAGACACAAAGAAGATTAACCTAAAGCCAGATACTCCAACACAACCAGTTTGTTTTTGTTGTAACTTTCGGGACAACTGGATAGCTAGGCTAGAATAGGGCAGGGAGAGAGCCCAGTACATGGTTTTGTGGTCAGGCAAAGTAGCCTGAGAGCAACCAACCCTTCCTAAGCAACACCCTGAGGTAGAAACAGCCTCATATCAAGGCAAGATGTCCAGCTTCAGAGAAGATTCACGCCCCAAGGAGGGGAGACAGGAGTGTGTTCCTGCCAGCAGACCTCTAACTAAGGAAGAGGAGGAGTTCTTATGACAAATGCTGTGATTGGAGGAAGAGACAAAGAAAATAGAGGACAAGATAAGTCAAGCAGAAGCGGAAGCACAGGCAAGGATAGCTAAAGCAAAGGTCACATTTGAAATATTGAAAGCTAAGCAGCCAGACACTCCAACTGCAACTAAGCACCCTGCTCCCACGAATGTTCCAATCATTGTTCAACATCCCAAGGAACTCCAGACCCAGAGAGTGGAAGAACACCAGAGACTATATCCTCTCATGAGGTCAGTGTATCACTGTGTGGTTATGGGGTTTGATTATGGCAAGGCAGATCTGTGTAACTGGGCTGATATTTCAACCCAGCCCCAAACCATGTATAGATGCAACTCTTCTGTGTTGCCTGTAGCTAATAGGGAGGTTTGTGAAAGGGATGAGTGTGATTCTGAGCCGTTGTCTGTGGCTAGTCAGTCCTACTGGGACCAAGGTTAAAGTTGTTTTCAATGTTTGCCTGAGGGAGGTAGCTATGTATCTATGCAGCGGTGAGTAAAGTTTCTGCATGTTTGCATGAAGTCTCAGAGGTGAAGCTGGAATCAGAAACAGGGCAGGGAGAGCCCAGTGATCAGGGAAGTGTGTCTCTGGAGTGGGTGGCCAGAGAGAAGTTTTAGCTGAGGAAAAAGATAAAGTTCTGGCAAGTGATGAGTTGTTGGCTGGTGAAGTTTGTGAAATTGAACTTGCACACGCTAACCATAGTTTGTGTGAGGGTGCTCAGTGGGAGCAAACTCTGTGGGTGTAAACTGGCAGCTTGGTTTTTGGGAGGGGCAGTGTGTCAGTGAAAGAAACTGCCTCAGCAGCCAGGCGTGTCCTCTTTTGGCAGCAGTAGCAGTATGATCGTGGGGGAAGGGTTTCTTCCCAGTTCTTTGTCTGCAGGAGGTGCTTATCAGCCTGAAATGGCTGAGGACAGTGCTGTGGGTCCAGATTTAGTTCTGGGGACAGCTGAAGCCCAGAAAGGAGAGGACCCTAGGTCTGTGTCTGCTGGGGAGAGTAGTGCTGTAACTGGGGGTATGTCTACACTACCCCGCTAGTTCGAACTAGCGGGGTAGTGTAGACATACCCTGGGGTAGGTGTAGTCAGTATCATGTTAGGATCCCAGGTGCTGAAGCAAAGGCTTACCTCTGTTTTGGCTGCTAACAGACAGCTTTATTGATCAATAAAGCTGTCTGTTAGCAGCCAAAACAGAGGTAAGCCTTTGCTTCAGCACCTGGGATCCTAACATGATACTGACTACACCTACCCCAGGGTATGTCTACACTACCCCGCTAGTTCGAACTAGCGGGGTAGTGTAGACATACCCTGGGGTAGGTGTAGTCAGTATCATGTTAGGATCCCAGGTGCTGAAGCAAAGGCTTACCTCTGTTTTGGCTGCTAACAGACAGCTTTATTGATCAATAAAGCTGTCTGTTAGCAGCCAAAACAGAGGTAAGCCTTTGCTTCAGCACCTGGGATCCTAACATGATACTGACTACACCTACCCCAGGGTATGTCTACACTACCCCGCTAGTTCGAACTAGCGGGGTAGTGTAGACATACCCTGGGGTAGGTGTAGTCAGTATCATGTTAGGATCCCAGGTGCTGAAGCAAAGGCTTACCTCTGTTTTGGCTGCTAACAGACAGCTTTATTGATCAATAAAGCACAAAGTGAGCCAAACGTGACCCCAACAGAGCCGGGTCCAGTAAGGCTGTTCAACACAATCAATCCTAGAATTTTATACCTTTAATCAAACAAGTCTGATGTCAGGGCAAGAAATCAAAGTGAACTTCAAAGAGGAATTATTATCAGCAAAGAAAGAAACAGGTTTTAGGGAGTAAGGGCGTCTGCTTAAAATAATTCATTAACACATTCCAACAGCGCATTCTTCTGGCCTCTCCCCACCTCAGTGAAGGCTAGTTCACTCCTTCTAGTATACGTGCAGACACAAGAAACTGAAATGGCTTTTGTTATACAGAATGGCTTCTAGCTAAATATGAAATGGTTTCCACACAGGGTAGATCTAAACTGCAATGCTATTTCAAAATAACTTTGCTAGCATCTACGCAGTGAAACCGCTACTTCGAAATTAATTTGAAAGAGCGAAGTGCTTATTTCGAATTTGGTAAACCTCATTCCACGAGGAATAACACAATTCGAAATAGCTATTTTGAAATAAGTGCTAGCTATTTCAAAATAAGTGCTGTGTAGACACTTATATCGAAATAGGGGGCCTCCAGCCTTCCCAGGGTGCCCTTGTGGCCACTCCAGCCTCAACCAAGAACGCTCCTCTCCCTCCCCGGCGCCCTTAAAGGGGTAGACTCTGGCTACAGTGCCTGTGCCAGCTCCAAGTCTTCTGGCCTAGAGCCAAACAGTCTCTGCCCGTGACCCAGTGGCCCTAAAACATGAGCCAGGAAGCCACTGGCAGCCAGCCCTCCACCACTCCCCAGGACCAGTCTGCCAGCCAACAGGAGCCTGCCAGGGCTCCGAGAAGGTGGGCGCCTTCCTGATCCAGGGTGGAGATCATGGACCTTATTCAGGTTTCGGGAGGGATGCCTCCAAAGTTCATGATCTCCACACTAGATAGAGGAACTCAGCCGTCTATGGCAGGATAGCTGCCAGCCTGGCCACCAAAGGCCACATGTGAACCCAGGAGCAGGTTTGCATGAAAATCAAGTTGGTCCGGTGAGACCCCCACTCCTGAACTTCCCCTCCCCCTTCTTCGTTTTACTTCCCCCTTCCAGGTTCCTCCTCCTAGGTTTCCCCCTCCCCTCTCCCACTGTCTTTTCTCCCCTCTACTGCCTCCTTTCCTCAGTCTCACCAGAGTTTCATCCTCCCCACCCCAGTTTTGTTAAATAAAGAGAGTTTGTGTTCATGAATTTTATTTGACATCAGGAAGGGGGGTTAGGGAGGGGTAAGTGGAAGGACGTGAGGGAGGAATGAGGCACAAACCCCCAGTGGGGAAGAGCAGAGAGGCTCTTAGTGCTCCTCAGGGTGGACACTATCCCGCAGGGCCTCCTGGATACCGACAGCTCCCCAATGGCCCTCCCGGCTGGCAGCCTGCAGAAAGTGCAGCCAGGCTTACAGCAACACCTTCACGAGAAGCACCAGAGTGCCCAGGCAGCTCTGGCTCCATGTTGCAGAGTGCTGTGGTGTCACAAGTGAGGGCAACCAGTTTAAGCAGAGACAAAATGCTTTGCTGTCCCTCATTGAGGCAATCAAGCAGGGAAAGCTGAGAACTGGCAGTTCAGAGGGGTCCCTTTAAGTCCAGGCCTCAGATAGCCTCAGGGAGCAGCCCAACACA